TGTGTGTGTGTGTGTGTGTGTGTGTGTGTGTGTGTGTGTGTGTGTGTGTACAGTACCTTTCAAAGACACAAACAGGTTGATGTTAAAGGTGTATGGATCCTGATGCTGCAGGTACGGGAGTGGTTCTGGATCCTGGAGTTAAACATGGAACAAGAAGAACTTTATGTTTGTGTGGAGATCCAACAGATTCATCTTCTGTTTGTTCTATTTAATGTAGTAAGCACGTTGAAACACTCTGCAGGGTCTCAGGAGCTGTAATACATTTAAATATATTTCTTTTTTAGGATTAGATGTATTACATATTGAGGCAGCACGGTAGATCAGTGGTTAGCACAGTTGCCTCAGCAAGAAGGTCCTGGGTTTGATCCTTGGTTTGGACCTGAGGTCTATGTGTGTGGAGTTTGCATGTTCTTATGGTGGGTTTGTTCCGGTTTCCACCCACAATCCAAAAACCTGCATGTTATTCTGACTTCAGGTCCAGGAGGAGCTGAACCAGAGGTCTGTGTTCTCAGTGGGATTTGCTGGTTAAATAAAGGTCAATTAAAAAATAATAATAATAATTTAATAAAAAAAAACAACTAAACAGCTTTATTGTTTACTGATGTTTAGAATAATACAAATGTGTTTGTGTGTGAATAAGAGGAGATGATGACATCATCATATAGGTAAGCTCAGGTGGGGGTCTTGTGTGAAACTCATTTGAACCTACACAACAATGATTTTATGAATTATGATCATTTTTGTTTTAACCTGCTAACTGATGCCACAAACTGGCAAAAACACCTGAATAAATGTGCCCAAATTAAATTAAATTAAATGCAGTTCTTGGAATAAATTTAAAATCTTGGTCTCTGTAAAGGTAACACTCTGAAGTTTTGTCATAAATAATGTATCTGTAACTAGTATGCAGTTAATGAATCTGAAACACACAAAAATCAGTTTTTTTTTTAAACAATTAAAAAATATACATTTATTTATGTCCTACCAGTTCAAATTTGGTAGCAATAGCATCCGAAATGATTATTCTGGACATATCTTTAAGAGAGTATGTCCATGCACATTTCAAAGTGTCCAAATGGAGTCCAACATGTCCACACAAATGGACACCAACTGAACTAAAGCTGTAACTCCTGAATGCTTCAACATACAGTCATCAGTGAGGCTCTAATGGAAGGTAAGAACTACAGGAACCATGTTCTACATCCAGATTTACTGTCAGCACAGTTCACATACAGGAAGTTATAAATAATCAGGAAGGAGGCGCACAACAATAAGCATGTAACTCCCCCTCAGAAACACATGCAGCTGAAAACATGATAAAAATAATAATGTCCTTACTTAATCAAAGTTTGGAGGTGTTTGTTATGGTGTGCATTACTGCCACCTATTGGTAAGTGGAGTGGCTCCATCATCCATCCATCTTTACCCGTTTCTTCCTTTGAGGGTCACTGGTGCCCATGTCCAGCAGTCACTGTGCAAGAGGCGGAGGACACCCTGGACAGGTCTCCAGTCCATCACAGGGACACATAGAGAACATATGAACTCCCCCCCAGAAAGGTCCCAGCCAGGATTTGATCCGGTGACCTTTTTGCTGAGATGCAACAGCTCTACCAACTGAGACACCTTTGTCCATAATCATTTTCTATTAATCAGTTTTGTTTTCCTGAAGAACCTAACTACATTTTCACATTTTTTATTTATGTTCATTCTTTTATGAACAGAATTTCTCCGTGCAGCCAGGGGGAGGCAGGAGTCCAGTTCGGTGGTCTCAGGATTCCTTCTCTGCTCTTTGCAGATGATGTGGTCCTGTTGGCGTCATCATGCTGAGATCTTCAGCTCTCACTGGAGCGGCTCGTAGCTGATTGTGAAGCGGCTGGGATGAGAATCAGCACCTCCAAATCTGAGGCCATGGTCCTAAGTCAGAAAAGGGTGGATTGCTCTCTTCGGGTCAAGGGTGAGGTTCTGCCTCAAGTGGAGGAGTTCAAGTATCTCAGGGTTTTGTTCATGAGTGAGGGAAGAATGCAGCGTGAGATTGGCAGATGGATTGGTGTGCTATCTCTTCACGGATACAAGTGGCTGAAATGAGTTTCCTCCGCAGGGTAGCTGGACTCTCGCTTAATGATGGGATGAGAAGTTCAGTTATCTGGGAGAGACTCGGAGTAGAAGCGCTGCTCCTCCACATTGAAAAGAGTCAGTTGAGGTGGTTCAGCATCTGCTAAGGATGCTTCATGGGTGCCTCCCTAGGGAGGTGCTCCAGGCATATCTGACTGGGGCGAGACCCCATGGAAGACCCAGGACATGCTGGAGAGACTATGTCTCTTGGTTGACCTGGGAACGCTTTGGAGTCCTCCCAGAACAAATGGAGGCTGCACAGCTGCTGAAAGAAAAGCTTTGCAGAGAGTGGTGAAGGCTGCACAGAAATCTGTCGGAATCAGCCTCCCCACCATCACAGACATCTACACCTCCAGATGCAGGAAGAGGGCCACCTGCATCATGAAGGACCCCACTCACCCAGCACACACACTTTTTGCCCCACTCCCCTCAGGAAGGAGGTTAAGGAGCATTAAGTGTAGAAACACTAGACTGAGGAACAGCTTCTACCCTGAGGCTGTTAGACTCATGAATCTCTAACTAGAATAATCACTGTGAAAAATCATATCATGTTGCTGCTGATCTGTTTCATGTTGCTGCTGATCTGTTTCAATGTTGATGTGTTCATGCGTGCACATCTGCTCACAGACTCATGTTCATGTTTGTGCTGATGTTCAATGTTTAATGTTATGAGTGCTTAGTGTATATTTAGTTGATGTTTTTCTTAGTTCATATCTTAGATGTTATTACTGTTTTTCTTATACATTTTATTGTTGGATGTAACTGGGACCTTGTGTACATAATTTCGCTCCACCACATGTACCACATGAGGTGCGAATGACAATAAAGAAACTCTGACTCTGACTCTGAGAAGAGCTGGAAGAGGTGGCTGTAGAAAGAGATGCCTGGACCTCCCTGCTCAAGCTGCTGCCCCTGTGACCCGAGTTTGGAACAAGCAGAAGATAATGGATGGATGGATGGATGGATGGATGGATTGGATGGATGGATGGATGGATGGATGGATGGATGGATGGATGGATGG